GAGGGCTGAAGTGAGTGCTCCCACCTTCACCTATAGAATCACATGGGGGTTAGTGAGGAGGGATGAGGTGAGTGCTCCCCTCCCTCACCTACAGACGTCTCGCAGCAGTGAGGAACTCAGATGGGGTCATATGGGATGGGAGAGCTGGTTCATTATTCTTTAGGGAACCTTTGTTACACACTCTAGAAAACCCTATGGAACAGTGCTACCCCGTCACGTGGGGCCTCTGTGATACAGGACAGAGAATGGTACCCAACAACAACATATAGGAGGGAGGATAAGAAAGTTGCTGGAAAAATTTCCTGGTCTTTTCATTCCATTTTCCACAAGTTTTTAAAGACCCCTCATAAGAAATTGCAGCAAATGATCTCACACATAAATGATCATTTGCTGCGATGTCATACAAATGTTATTGTTTTATTGAAAAAGTTCAAGTGACAAAGTCTGTCAGAACTCATGACATTCTGCAGGGTCCATAGGAATCGAAGCTGACTGGACAGCACCAAGTCTGCTGTTTTGGAAAGAGGGGATTCATGGAAGAGACAAGTGCCAAGTGTACTCTCTGGTTCACAGGAAGGAGGTTCATGGGAGCCCAGGTCCTCTCCCTCCTGGACTTCATGTAAACAATGTGAACAAGGGCAACAACAAACTTGTAGACAAATAAATAGTCAGAGGCAAGGTAAGAATTATGAAGCAAACAAAAACAAGATCATGTGATACAAAGTGCCAGTGAGAAGGAGCTACTTTAAAAACAAAACCCCCAAACCCAACCCAGAGTCATGGCGTCCATTCCCACTCCCAGCAACTCTGTGCAGGCTTCTGAGGTTCTCCAGCTTGGTAGGAGCAGAAAGCCTCAACTTTCTCCTGCGGAGCAGCTGGTGGTCCAAACAGCCGAGCTTGTGATTAGCAGCCCAAAGCCAACTCAACAGGTGCATGGCACTAATCAGAACGAAAAGAAATCTAAGCACCGCACGGGTCAATAGCACCTGTGGGTGGTTTTTTCCATTTACTTTTCTACATGTGTGGACTTCAATATCACACATCGCAATCGGTGACATATTATTTTAATATCATGCGAAGGTAGCATTACTTCAAAATCAAGACTTCTGAAAAAAATCCTATTTTTCACGAAGAAGAGAGGGGAATTTGGCAAATAAGCAGATTGTATTATCTGACAAACTGAGGTAGGCTTATTTCTCTCCACAGGACTTTTTGTTGTTGTTGTTGTTGTTAAGTGCCATGGACTCAGTTCCAACTCATGGTGAACCTTAATGGAGAAGCTGGTGAATTGGAACCACCGACCTTGTGATAAAAACCGACCTTGCAGTCCAGTGTATTATCCCACAGCATCACACCAGAACTAGTTGTTGTTGTTGTGAAGTGCCGTCGAGTCTGTTCCGACCTATAGTGACCCTGTGTAGGGTTTCCGAGGAGCAGCTGGTGAGCTTGAACGGCTGACCTTGCAGTTCAAACGGCTTTGCAGTGTGGTGCATTACCCACAGTGCCACACCAAGACTCCTCTATGAAAACAACTTGCTTTATTAAGAAGGTTAGGTGACAAGTTCTATTAGAACTCATTAATCTATCATTGACTTAGCAGCAGTTATTTGACAAAAATAAAATTCAGATTCGATTTTCTCCTCCCAAGGTCCTCAAAATTAATATCAAACAATTAAAAGGACAGTATTACACATAGGTGCTATTTTCCAAGTCAAATATCTATTTCTGTATAATATAATGATGTCTTTGCATGGTATCTTTCATGGAGCATCTGAAATAGGAGTCCTCAATGGCACAAACGCCTGGGCACTCAGCTGCTACCTGAAAAGTGGGAGGTTCGAATCCATCCAGAGGTACTTTGAAAGAAATGCCTGGCAATCTAATTCCAAAATATTCAGCCACTGAAAACGCTACAGAGCAGAGTTCTCCTCTAACACAGGTGGGGTCGTCATGAGTGGGAAATGGTTTAGGTAGCTTCAAACTATTTGTGACTGTAAAAGAAGGATCCATCTCTAAAATGTGCCTAACAGGTTGCATAGTGGATTGCATGTTGTGCTGCTAACCAAAAGGTCAGCAGTTCGAATCCACCAGCCACTCCTCAGGAGAAAGAAGAGGTTTTCTGCTCCCATAAAGATGTACCACCTCGGAAACCCTACATAAGGTCACTGTGAGTCAGACTCGACTCAATGACATTAAGTTTCTGTTGTTGTTAGGTGTCATTGAGTCAGTTCCAACTCATACCAACCCTGCATAGGATTTCTGAGGAGCTGCTGGTGGGTTTGAACTGTTAATTTCATGGTTAGCAGTCCAGTGCTTATCCCACAGCACCACACTTAACTATCTATATATTTAAGGAGCCCTGGTGGTGTGTGGGTTAAGCATTGGGCTGTTAACGACCAGGTCAGTGATTCAAACCTACCAGTCAATAGAGAAAGATAAGTCTGCTTCCACAAAGTTAAACCATCTCAGAAACTCTCTAGGGTAGTTCTCCTCTACCCTATGAGTCAGAATTCACTTGATGCCAGGGTTGGGGTTTTGTTTTTTTTAATGTATTTAAAATAGCTCTTATTCTATTTCTTAAACAAAATTTTTATTTTATTTTATTTTATTATCAGATCTTTTCATGGTTTTCTAATGTGATTGGTTCATAGGCTGGCTGACATGTATTCCTGCTCTTCCCACAGGAGACACCAGTGGATGGGCGACTCTGTTTGGCGAAGTCCACAGAAACTCTAGGACTGTGGCGTTCACACCCGGGTGCTGTAAGTGTCGTCAGCTTTGCAAACATGATTTGTGGTGCATGAGCACCATGAGTGGAATCTAGTTATGAAAAATCATCCACTGAGAACCCTGTGGGGCGCAGTTCTACTCTGACACACACAGGGGCACCATGAGTGGAATCTACTTATGAAAACTCATCCACTGAGAACCCTGTGAGCACAGTTCTACTCTGACACACACAGAGCTCTATGAGTGGGATCTACTTATGAAAAATCATCCACTGAGAACCCTGTGGAGCACAGTTCTACTCTGACACACACGGGGGCACCATGAGTGGGATCTACTTATGAAAAATCATCTACTGAGAACCCTGTGGAGCACAGTTCTACTCTGACACACACGGGCCACCGTGAGTGGAATCTACTTATGAAAAATCATCCACTGAGAGCTCTATGGGCACAGTTCTACTCTGACACACATGAGGCACCATGAGTGGAATCTACTTATGAAAAATCATCCACTGAGAACCCTGTGGAGCACAGTTCTACTCTGACACACACCATAAATTGGAGTCAACTCAACCACCACTGGCTTATTGTTACAATGAATTATGTAAGATTTGAAAAGCAAAGTGCCCAATAAAAGGAATACTTTCAGTCCACTCTACGCTTGTCCAACTTGGTTAAATTCACTAGGTTGCAACAGTGGCTCCAGCAGAACATACACTGAACCCTTCTTTCTTACCAGGAGAAAACCATTAAATTTCATGTCAACCCATAACATTTACTGGACAACTACTTGATGCAGACAAATAGAAATTAAGTTGAACTCACTTAACTGTAGTCATTAAGACTGACACACTTATCTTGTATTTTCCAGTGAGGAGAATTGAATCTTACTTCTTCATATGCGTTGATGATATGTAAACATTTCTATGACTTCCTTCAAATTTCCTACTGAGTGCTTCTGAAGTAGCCACTGTGAGCCAAAACATCAAATAGACCCACAGTTAATTAGGAGAGAGTCCTTTTTGCTTTTATTATGTGTATAAATCAGTCCATTTAGCAGATGCAAAAGGTATACAGTCAGTGAAAAGAGAAAGATGTCAGATGGCATGGGTAAAGTTATCCTGAAAGAAATGTATTTCCTTTCCTAGTGATATCTTCCTCTTCTTTGTCCCTTAGTTCTAAACCAATAGCCACCACACTGTGACTGCAAAGAAACAGAACTTGAATGTATGTATAAATGCTGACTTCAGATCTGTGCCAACGATTTCCAGCAATGTGACTCTACTGTGAGTAGAACTCAATTTGTTATGTTTGCCCCTAACATCCCATGAAAATCCAGAAAAATCTAATCTCTCTTTGTCCCATTGTGTGCTGCGTATATATAAGCCTAATGGTAGGTAGGTGGGTATATGGATAGACAGACAGATAGATAAATGGTTGGATGGATGGATGGATGGATGGGTAAGTGAATGGATGGGTGGATGGATGGATGGATGGATGGATGGATGGATGGATGGATGGATGGATGAATGGATGGATGGATGGATGGATGTTTGGTGTATGGATGTTTGGGTGGGTAGATGGATGGATGGGTAAGTGGATGGATGGATGGATGCATGGATGGATGCATGGATAGATGCATGGATGGATGGGTAAGTGAATGGATGGGTGCTTGGGTGTATGGATGGATGGATGGATGGATGGATGGATGGATGTTTGGTGTATGGATGTTTGGGTGGGTGGATGGATGGATGGATGGATGGATGTGTGGGTGGGTGGGTGGATGGATGGATGGGTGGATGGATGGATGGATGGGTAAGTGAATGGATGGATGGATGGATGGATGGATGGATGGATGGATGGATGGTTGGATGGGTGGGTGGGTGTGTAGGTGGGTGGGTTGAAAGAGAGAGAGGGAGCTGGCCCAGAGTTGCCTCTGACCCATGGCAATGTCATGGACAACAGAAGGAAAAATGACCCAGTCCTGAGTCACCCCCTCCACCAATGGTCTGTTGAAATCCAATGTTGTGGTGATTGTGCCGATCCCTTTCACTGTCAGTTTCCCCCACCCTCACTGGTCCTTTACTTCACCAGCATGATGTCCTCTTCCAGCGACTGAGCCCTCCTGATGACATGTCCACACCAAGTGAACCGGTCAGTGCTCTTTGTGATCCAGAAGGTTTCATTGACTACTTTTCAGAAATAGACAGCCAGGCCCTTCTTCCTAATCTGCTTTAGTCTGGAAGTTCCACTGAATCCTATCCACTCTGCTGGTATTTGAAATATCGGGGGTATCAATTCCAGCACTATCCCCACATACAAACTACCACAGGATGACAGCCTGACAGGCAGGTGGCAGGTCATAACCGTGGACACTCTTTTGAAGTGCTCACCCGTCAGAGGATTAGACATGATGCAAAGTCTTCAGAGGGAAGATAGCTTTTCTCATTCTCATTTAACTTACAAATGTCTGTGATCTGAAACTGTTTTCAGTTCCTTTCTGATTTATATATTATTGCTGATATAGCTGTACTGAGATTTAAAGAAAGAAAGAAAACTACTCACTCACCCTGATATATTATTTTAATGGTGGTAATTTGTCCTAGATAGCTAAGGTGTTAAAGATTCATGAGGTGCTTTTTTCTGTACTTTGATTGAATTTTTTGAGAGCCCTAGGAAATGTGTAGTTGTGTCATAACAGGGGGATCTATGGGCACCGTGGCAGCAGCAATGGGCTCAGATGTAGCAACAATCGTGAGGATGGTGCCGGACCGGGTGGGGTTTCGTTCCATTGTGCTCAGGGTCGCTATGAGTTGCAACCGACTCCACGGCATCTAACAACAACAAATATAGTGATTAAGATTTTTTTCATGATTATTTGCTTTAGATATTTCATTAAACTATCTAGAAAGCAAAAGAATAAAGTCAGATTATCAGCCTAGATCTTCCAGTCTATTCTACTACCTAGCTAAAGTTATCAGACACTTACCATGACTTATGAACTTATTCTCCCACGGAAATATTTTCGTTATTGTGAATTTCAAATGATTGTTGAGTAGTATGGAGCATTATGAAATGTTTTCTTGTCAAGTGTGTAACTTACATGGAAGAGTCTGGCTAGTCATGAAATCTACTTTATATGTTATTTTAGGTCTCTTAAGAAAAACAAAATCTTCAGTCTCCCAGATAAAGTTTTCATCAAGTACACAGAACTGAAAACTATGTAAGTAGAAATTAAGAGCATACTGATGAGGAAAAACCTCATAATGTTCTGCTTAACATGTCTTTTATCTCAAAGTAAAATGAAATACAAAGTTGATTAACCTTTATTGTGAAATTTATTTTGATAAATGCACTGAATATTCAGATGAAAAGACAAATCATTTAAAAGTACATTATCTTTCCAATTTACAATTTAAAGTAGCTGAATTGATTTCATTCAGACTTTTTTTTTTTAAAGAACTGCACTGAAGTTGAAAAAGAAACATCTCAATTAAATTTAAAAAAACAAAATAACACTATCTCCTGAAGTCTTCTTTGAACCAAAATTAATTGGTAAAGTCCATCTGCTAGGAGAATTGTGGTCTGTATCTGCTAAAAACAACCTGTGTAAGGTCACACTGACAACGACAATGCCAACAGTTGGAAGGGGAGTTTAGGTGATGGTGACTTGGAGACATTGGTGATGGAAGAACGTGACAATGGCCACCGAGAACGACCCTACCACTTGAAGAATGTACCCAGTGTTACTGAATTGTACAGGTAGAAATTGTTGATATGGTGTGTTTGACTGTGCAGACTGTCACCCAAATTCTTTCAACAACACACAGCTCCATGCTTTTTCACGCAGGACTGTTTTCAAACATCATTGCAGAATCAGAGGCAGTAGGTTCATTTTTTAGCTTGGAAGAAGAGTGTCCGTGAGGCAATAAAGTCATTTAAAATGCAAAATGATTGGATATGGGCTGTCTCCCTGGGTAATCGGGGAAATGTGATGGCAGTTTAATCAGTATTATTTACATATCTGATGACAGAAAATGCTGGTGTACCAGGGCATCAATAGCAGATCAGAAATGGCACCCACTGAGTTTTCTTGGTGGCTAATTCATGCTCACAACTCCCAGTGACCTTACCGATTCCATAACCAACTGATCAATGATGTTCTTTGTATCCTGAGCACTTGGCATTTGAGAGCTAGGTATGGAATTTGTCACTCTTCAGCCTCATTCTGGAGCACTGGTGGTGCTCAGCTGCCAACTCAAAGGTTGGAAATTCGAAACCACCAGCCTTTGTACCGGAGAAACATGTGGCGATTTACTTCCAGAATGATGCCAGGTCTGGGAACCTTATAGGGCAACTCTACTGTCCCCTATGTCATTGTTATGAGTCAGAGGTGACCCTAAGGCAAAGGGTTTGCTTGGTTTAAGTTTCATTCTGTTCGATTGAGCTTTTATTACCAGATGGTCAGGATCATTTTAGATGAAGCAACATAATCACTTCCCACCGGCTTTCTGTCTTCTCACAATACGGTGGCTACCTTCATCTAAGTCATAGAGGAAATGACTGAAGAAGAGAGAGAAGGAACATCTTGCAAGGTCCCTTCATCATGATCTTTCAGATAAGGATGCATGCCTCAATTATCTGGTCCATGAAAACATCAGAAAACCACTTACTCAATGTCTGGTCCATATACAAGTGACATCAATATCACAAAGATGAAAATGAGCTTGCTTGGATAGATCCCATTCTGCATGAATTGGCCACTTCACTTTCTCTTTGAGATGGTGACAATCACTATAAGAACCGGTTCTATGACCCGATCCAGAACTGAAATTGAGCTTCTTGTTGTTGTTGTTGTTGTTGTTGTTAAGTATTGTCAAGTCAGTTCTGACTCATAGTGACTCTGTATAGGGTTTCCAAGGAACAACTGGTTAGTTTGCACCACCAACCTTATGATTCAAACTGACCTTGCGGTCCAGTGCTTTATTCCACAGCGTCATACTGGGACTCTGGAACTGACTTTATCCAACTATAAATCCAGTGCTGTCGAATCAATTCCAACTCACAGTGCCCTTGTAGGACAGAACTGCCACAGAGGGTTTCCAAGACTGGAATCTTGACCGAAGCAGACTGCCACATCATTCTCCTTCACAGCAGCTGGTGGGTTTGAACCATCAACTTTACAGTTAGCAGCCAAGTGCTTTACCCACTGATCTGTATCCCTCTGTAGCTTGTGGAATCCATCGAAATCTACTCCAGACCTGCTGACTATGTAAAGGAATTCATTGGCATCCGATACGCTAATATCCCTGATGCAGTCACAGTGATGTTTCTCCTACTGCCGGGAATCATTTCACATCTATCCATTACGCGTTATGATCTGATGACTTCCTGTGTAGGCATCTGCTCCATTTTCCATCTGTCATTTGCCAGCTGCTCTTCCTTCTTCGAGATTGCTCAGCTTCTAGGAGAAATTATCAAGACAAAAACACTCTCATTCCTTTTGATTACATGTTGTAATCTCTTGGTCTTTACCGGATTTCCCTGTGTCCAGCTGTCCTCTCCATTCACTTCAGTTCTGAGACTATCTTCCTTGATTGAGAACACAGAAACAAAATATATAAGTGAAGATATGAACAGCCCTTTCTTGTTTCTTTCATGCTGTCTGGCAACACTGTATAGAATAGGCCGTGGACAACATGTTGATAGTTTGCCTTTGGCATTCTGTTGTTTATAAAATAAAAGTTTAAATGCATTATTATTGCTCACTGTAGTGTCGTTTGCTGTCTGAGTTTTGAGCTTGACGTAGGTCAGCGTTGCCCTGGGATTCCATTTCTGTGAAACCCTCAAGGATGCTTGAGTTTTCGAAGGAAAACCTCACTGAGTCCCCTTACCTGTGTCTCTTACAACACCGTGTACCCCTACACACACACAACCCCACAGTAGATATGTTGTAACAGATGCTGTTGTTATGTGCTGTCCGATGGATTCCGACTCATTGTGATTTCATGAGACGAAGTAGAACTGCCCCGAATATTTAATTATTGTGTCAGCCACCAGGGCTCCGTGACCATGACTGGTGTTGTTGTTGTTGTTATTGTTAAGTGCCCTGGAGTCAATTCTGACTCATAGTGACTCTGTATATAGTGTTTTCAAGGAATGGTTGGTGAGTCTGAACTGCCATCCTTGTGGTTTAAACCAACCTTTCAGTCAAATGCTTACCCTACAATGCCACAGTGGTGGTGGTTGGTGGTTATGTGCTGTGGAGTCGGTTCCAACTCATAGCAACCCTGTACAGGGTTTCTGAGGCTGTAAATCTTTACGGGAGCAGAAAGCCTCATCTTTCTCCCGTGGGACAGTTGGTAGTTTTGAACTGCTGACTTTGTGGTTGGCAGCCCGATTTGCAACCACTACGCAACACAGTAGGTGCCTTTAATGCCATGAATCTGGATTGACTTTTGTTTGAACAGGAAAAACACACTCACATCAATATATGTTTTAAACTGTCCTAGGTGTAAGGAACTCTGGTAGCATAGTGGTTACAAATCGGGCTGTGAACTGCAAGGTCAGCAGTTTGAAACTACCAGCTGTTTCGTGGGAGAAAGATGAGGCGTTCTGTTCCCGTAAAGATCTACGGCCTTGGAAACCCTGTACAGGGTCGCTATGAGTCGGAACTGACTCCACGGCACACAGCCAGCCACCAGAGTCCTGGTGTGGCGCTGTGGGTTAATGTGCTGGACCACAAAGTCAGTTTGATCGGTAAGGTTGACAGTTCAAGCTCACCAGCCACTCCTCGGAAATCCTATACAGGGTCATTATGGGTCGGAACCAACTTGATGGCATTTAAAAACAACAACAACAAGGCTAATAAAGTTAGTCTGTATTTTTAAGTGATATTGGGGCATCTCTGGCCGCCAGTGAATTTCTGGTCAGGAATGTTCAAAACAATCACTTTAAAGATGAGGCCATCTGTCCTTCCTATTTGGTGCCATCAAGTCGACTCCATGTGACAGGATAGAGCTGTCCCCATTGAGTTTTCTAGGCTGTGATCTTCCCCTACAGAGCCACTGGGTGGGTTCGAACCGTTGACCTCACAGAGTGCTTAACCTCTGCACCACCAGGACTCCTCCTGAGACCACTTTGGCATCTGGCAAAATAAGTCCCTAAATCAAAATGAAATTGTCATTGCCCAAAGAATCCAATGTTACTCAGAGGATCTAAAAATATATTTTACTATAGATCAGTCTGTTCATTAGAATCAGCTTTTAAAATGTCAGACCTATATAAAGTTGGGGGAGACACATTTTCCTCTGACCTTTCAGAGAAATAAAATGCAATTTATGGGACTGACTGTTATACTATTTATCACTGCTGCCATGGAAACGGAGGGCTGTTCTCATGGTGCCACAGACATATAAATTAGAAATTCTTCCTTCAACCAAAGTCTCGCTTAGTGCAACTGTTGACAACAAAATGTACTTGAAGCTCTCGGCTTAGTTCTCAAATATAAAATGTTGCATTTCACAAAATCCAGCCTACAAACGTACGTGTCATTAAAGCATCCATTTGCTTTAGTTTCAGGTACATAGATTCCTGGTGTTTCTGTGAATTCCCAAGCCAGTGGGTTATTCTTAGAAAAGGCATTCCGTTCAAGTGTGCTCAGGGTTCTCAGATCTCAGCTTGGATGTAAAAGAGGAGTCTCTTGTTGACAACGTGTTTCTAAGTTCTCCCTCACATTCACCAAGCTGCTTACTATGTTACAAAACAGAAAGGCAATCCTAGAGGACCGAATTAGCATTTAGCAACTCAAGTCGGAGACATGAGACAGGGAACTTTATAGTTCTCTATAGGGTGGCATTGAAGTCCTGGTGTGGCGCTGTAGGATAAGCACTAGACTGCTAACTACAAGGTCATCCACTCAAACTCACCAATAGTTCCTCAGAAACCCTACACTAGTCAGAGCTGACCCAATGGCACTTAACAACAACATAGTGTATCAGCAACTCAACTCAGGAGAATTCAGAGCAATCCCATGTGTGCAGAGGAAAACTGCTCAATAGGGCTTCAGCGCTTTCAGAAGCAGCCCATCCAGCCTGGAAAAACAGAAGCCTTGCCGCT